TCCCTTGCTCAAGGCAGGAGAAAAGGGCACTCTCAGCTTCTGCACTTTAGCTCTGTCAACGAGGCTTCTTCTAGAGCTGGTATCGACCTTCCGTTTGCCACTTTTCCTACTCTTCTTCAGTAGGTCAACTTTTGCCTGAAGTTCCTCAAGGGTAGATTTCATTATGGAAGAACCTGGAAGATCTGGACCGAGCAAGTTAAACAGGAGAGAGGAAAAAGAAGGGAAGGCAAGAGAACCAACTTAAAAAGTGTTACATTTTATGTCTTTAGGCCTAACAACTGAGATAGGGAGTGGAGCTTCTATTGATACCTCAGGAGGACTGAATTCCTGTGTTACTAGGACCTAGGGCTTGATGAGCTCGGAGTACTTCTTTGGATTGCACTTCTCCAACTTTCGCTTTACCCTCTCGTCCTCAGCACTGAGCTCTGATTGAATGCCTGAAAAACAATACAAGGAGAGCAAAGGTCAAAAAGGCGACTCAACGATTCCTAAACTAGAGCTCAATTAGTTCGAGCAAGGGCTCACCTAAGTTATCAAGGGCAAACCAAGTTCTAGGGATACCCAGAGTATCAGTCTTGTCAGCAGGGTTGTACTCCCACTTGGTTCCCCCAACGAAAAAGAATTGTTTCTTCCAACCCTTATGGAAGCTCGGGAGGTGAGTAATGACCTGCCTAGCCGTGGTTCTCTTGGAAATATATAAGAAACTCTCTGATGAGGTGAGCTTGACATTAAAAAGATCCATAAGCAAGGAAAGGCTGGGGACCCCGAGTCCATAAATCTTGAATAAAACAAGAAGACCCACAAGTACACCCTAGAAATTAGGGTAGAGCTGAGCAGGACAGACATTGAAGTGTTGCAAAATACTCTTGATAAAGAGATGCATAGGGAAGCGAAGACCATTCTCAAAAGCGGCCACAAAGAAACATACTCTCTTATGAACTTGGGCAACGTATGAGGTGTATTTATCTGGACACTAGGGCTGGACACTAGGAGGAAAACTGTAATGAGCACTGAGAATTCTCACATGAGAAGAGTCAATCTCGCTAGGTCCTACGAGCTCAGCATGCCTAAAGGCGGCCCCTATGCCCGCTGCACTGTCAGAGACTCCTATCCCACTCGCCTTGCCCTTACCTTTGTTAGGATTAGGGGGTACAGAAGAAGACGATGGGGATGGTTCCTCAGTATTTTTCTCGGCATCAATAGCATCCACACTGGGGAAATTGTCGATTTTCTCGCCTACATCCCCTAAATCAGTGTCCTCTTCGGCAGACCTTTCCCCCAAGAGAGAAGCAGAGGAGTGTGTAACTCTGGAAGGAGTAGACATGACTGGATAGGAGAAAGGTAAACTAAAAGAACGGTAGAGAAGAGGAATACTAATTAAGCACTCCTTAATAACCCTAGGGTCAGCGCAGTAGCTTCCAACAGAAAGGATTCGTACGATAGAAGACCAGTCCACGAAGTGGGGGAGAGGAGACAAGCAGTAATTTTGATTCCAAAAGTAAAAGAACCAAAAGGCCCAGAAATGCAATGGCCACCTCGAATTTGAGGGATCCAGAACGAGGAAAGATGAAGAAGAGACAAAAGGGCGTACCTAGGTGGGAAAGAGCAACGAACAGCAGCCTAGAGTGAAATGGAAGAAAGAGGGCAATGCGAATCTTCAAATCGAACCCACAAAACCCGATCTTGAATGAGGAATCAGAGAATTCCAAACCAGAAAGCCAAGAAATCGCAAGAAGAGAGAAGCAGCAGAGAAGTTGAACAATGGAATAGGGCGGTTCAGATAGTCGTTTGAGCATTTAAACCTGAGAGATGTGGACTGAAATGTGCGCGGGAAACGAAGAAGCCATGATTGCTGAAAACCGTCAAAAAGGCCTAACTCACGTGCAGGCCAAGGTCAGCCATGTGCAGATCCTACTCGATTTAAAAAGCAGCTCAACCCCTGCCCAAGCCCGCTTGAACCAGGGGCCGGGGAGCAACTAATGATACCTCAAACAAGCTCTAGTTGTGAGCTCAGGTCGGGAGGTCAGGTTAGGAGGTCAGAAAAGACACGAGAAACTCAGAGAACTAGAGGTGGAGCTCCCCTTGGAGAGATCGTAGCTGAACCGACCATAAAACAGCTGAATGACTGCGAAAATTGGGTCCCATGCATGAAACTCTCAACCAACCAAGATTCTCTCCTAAAATCAAAGAGAATCCCATGAATAATGAGCAAAGATCTCGGCTGAAATCCCAAGAAATATGGGGCAATTTTATAAATACTATGTAACGCCTCATCGAGAGGGGAGAGAGAAAAAAAAAGAAACCTAATCGGATTGTGCACTGTCTTGTATTACATTCAAATAATCAATAGAGAAGAAAAAGAACAAGAGTCTCCATTTGAGAGTGGATTAGCGAGTTCTAGAACCGGTGAACCACAATATTCCTACTGTGCAAATTCCCTTATCTCCTAAGAAACACTTCATTACTGCCATTACAAAGTTGACAGCTTAATTTTACCATTAATTTCACGCACTCTGTTCATTCACATCAGTTTGACACCATCAACATAAAATAGACACTTAACGATATGACATCTAACATAGATTTTTCATGTCAATAAAATTTTGCCAACTAGTTTATTTATTTTGTTACTGACTTTTCATTCTCCAACTTGTTTAGGACTTCTACTTTGGTTTGCCCACTTCCACCGCCATTGCATTCACGGTCTCCTTTGCCAACAAGCAACAGAGCTCGGGCTTTCTTCAGTACACGTCTTCGAATCACTCAAGGAACCCAGCCCCATATTATATACGATTAAAATCGTCTTGCTTCCATTGGACAAGACCCGAATACTCAAGTTGGAAACAAAACCCTTTTTTCTCACAACAAAACGATACCCACTTTTAGTAGAGCAAAAATTCAAATATAATGCACATAAAAAACACATCCAATCATAGGTGGAGAGCACTGGCGAAAAATTGTTCGATGTGCTTTAGAAAATTGACAGAAGAATGGCGTAGGGATTGGAGGGTTGCAGCTGATCCAGAGATATAGAATGATTATTTAATGGTTTCAGCTGGGTTCATAAGCTGCCATTGTTGGTGTCGGCTAAGTTCATGGGTTGCTTGATAAATTATTCAAAACAATTAGCTGTTTGGAAGAGGAGATGAATTCAATCTTCATCCTTTGATGTTGGCCGAGGAGAGGATGAGAGCAATGACTGGGGGAAAGTGGGCAAATCGAAGTAGGAGTCCTCGTCAAGTTGGAAATGAAAAAATAAATAAATAAATAAAAAGAGATTAAACTAGTTGACAGAATTTTAATGACATGGCAAATCCATGCCACATCATTGTGTCCTTATTGTATATCCTAATAGTATTAGTGAATTTCATATCATACCATAGTAGGATGGCTAAACAATTCCAATTACACCTATTATAGATAGCTCGTGAAATAAAAATATTTGAGACTAAGACTCATTTCTTTCTCAATTAAACACATCATCCATAGGTCTTTATAAATAAAAAATTCGCTTGATCTATATGACATCAAAATTAAGTGAAAAACCACCAATTCTACAAGATTTCATGCAATAAACAAAAAGATTTAATTGATATTAGTTAAACGAATTTATTTTAATAAAATGAAGCTATTCATATTTGTAAATGGTACTTTTGGTTCAATGTCAAGAGATAGTCAATCATAACCTAATTACTTTGTATCAAGTTCGTACTCTGTTAATGTGTCGTGTCAGAAATTATCACCTTTGCATTCTACGAAATTACTCTTCATGAAAGATTAATTATATTTGGTCTCTTGCTAATAATAAAGGTTTGTTAAATTGTCAGCAAATTAGTAAGTGCAATTATTAACTTGCTTTATTTTAATGGGCTGCCAAAAAAGCAGGCTACATACATGATCGAGCTACTTAACAAAAAGCTTAATATATATATATATATATAGAGAGAGAGAGAGAGAGAGAGGTGAATAGTTTAGTTTGCATTTCGTTATCTGCTGGCAACATGTATCGACATCTGGAATAAACATTTGGTGTAACAGTGACTCTTTATAAAAAAATAAATATCATCAATGTCTTGTAGTATCACTATTACATTCAATATTTTTTTTACAACATCAGACTTATTTAATAAACAAAATTGTTACCAAACTTTCGTGTGTGCAAGAATGGCTATGGCTATGGCGGTGTCTCGTGCCGTGTTCAATTAATTTCAATTCAATGTAGTTGTAGTTATTATCATATTGGATTTGTGCTTTCTTAAGTCATTTTTAAATTCCTGTTATTTTGTCAAACGGATTCAAATGGGTCAATCTCACGTTGTGTTAATAGATTGTATCTAATTGTCAGACCTTCGTGTGAAAGTAGTTCATAGAACATCTTCCCTCCATTGGTACAAAGCTATAAATTTATAAATCAGCTAGTTTGAAGTATAATTGGATTCTTTTGTTACACACACTGAATAAATGGATCTTTAATTACTAATTCACTGCTGATTGACTAGTGACGGCTACAAATAACACAATTTATTCAGCATACATTTGACCCATTAAGTGAAGAGTCCTTCCACACGTCCACACGAGACTCCTGGATCACTATAGCCGATATTTGTCTCTATTCAACCGGTCAATATAAACTTTTACTAATTATGCTAACTAGTAGAATCTTAATTTGAATCTATTTTTGCATACTTTTGTTACTCAATACAACACGAAATCAATTATCCATAATTATACATATGTTGAATATGAATTTAACAAATTTTAATATGATCCAATCGACATAAATTTAGACTTTTTGGGGATTGGGGGGGCCGAGTGGGAGAAGCCAATTTTTAGCTAGCGTACCTTGCACGGGCAGAATGAATAAATTATTCATAATTATGTCAACGAAAAGAACAGTAGAACAAAACGATATCGAAACAAGCAAACAACATCTTCACTTCATTTAGCATAACTGAACAAGAAGATTACACAGAAAATGGAATTTCAGGTGATTCTAATTTCTTTATTCTAACACAAACATTATGAACACCCATATGTAGATAAAGTCGCAGACTATTTTCGGATTAAACCAGCAATACTCCTTTTTGCTCATACAGGAACAGGTGGTGCAAGGAAAGGAATGTTGGGAATGTTGGGAACGTTGGGAATGTTGAAAGGAGGGAAGGGTGGGAAATTGGGTAAAGGGAAAGCAGGGAATCCTGGTAATTGGGGAACTCCAGGAGTGAATGGAATCTGAGGAATCTTTGGTAATGGGGGTGCAAATGGTATTTGAATAATTGGAGCAAGATATGGGATATTTGGAAAAGATGGCAAATTCTTAATCTCACCCAAGTTCACACTTGGCTTAGTTTCTGTAGTAAACCCCTTGACCTCTTCTTTTTCTCCATTTTCTTCCGTGGCCTTTGATCCTCCAAGTTGGCGCGCATCAGCATGAGAGAGAAAATCTGTAGCCATGACCAAGCCAAGCAAGAAGATGACATTCAAGACCATTGTAGCTGAATGCTGTGAACCCATGGTTATAGAGTTGTGTGTGTGTGTATTCTTGCTGTGACTCCATGGTGGTTTATATAGGGCACAAGGGAAGGGCTTTCAGGTTTATGCCAACGTATAGGTTACAAAATTGAGTGAGAGAGAGTTGAAATGGGTGCCGACTCTATCAGATTCCTTTAATTCTGCACTGGACAATTAATGTAATAGACAGGTAAGTTCATACCCATTCCAACCCATTTTTTTAGGGGAAATTTTCAGAATCAGATTTCCAACATACATTAATGCAGTGAATTGCTTTTCGGTATGCTTGTCAACGAATCCAGCTTTGATTCAAATTTAATTATTCGGATATAGATTAATATTTGTTATCCGTAATCTGAATTCGATATAGTATATTTTATGAATTCAGATTTAATATACCTACATTGATCCGATTATGATTGGATTTGAATTATTTATATATTTTTATATAAATATTAAAAAAATTAATTGATTGTTTAAATAAATTTAGTTGAAATTTAGGTATAATTTGTTAAAATTTAGATAATTAAATTATTCAAATTGGATCAAATTTCGAGTTATTAACGGATTCAGATATGAATTATGAAAATAAAAACCCGTTGAATTATCAGATTGGATTTTTGAAAATTTGTGACTTCAAAGACACATGAGTACTTCATAATCATTATCTACTATCACAGGTTAAAAGCATAAGATGCGTTAATAACCCATATCTCTCGGCAACAAGAACTTCTAAGCAAACAAAATATTTAAATCTTTATTTTGATTTCTTTTTTAGTTACGATTCTTTTATGAATACACTATAATAGGATAATCAACACTTTCTTTAAAGTAAATATTACTATTTTTTGTAATAGTGTTAGAGATTTTATTAGAAATTATAATTATCAAGTTGTTATATATCAATAAAAATATGAAATATAAAATATATTATATTATAGAATATGTCTATGTGCTTCCTAAGTCGAGGATAATCCTATGCTAGGTTGCCAATTTGTTGTAGACAACAGATTAGGACCGAATGTCAGTATTCCCAAGTCATATGTTCCAACCTTGCGCTATTTACCAACATGTACCAAGTTTCCGATCTAGGTTCAATGTAACTCTTCTCCACTCCCACCCCACCCCGACCTCACTTGGAGTTTTATAGATTCAACTTGGATAAGTCCACTCAATTCTGACTTGAGTTCAACTTAAAATATTTAGTATTTAAGCAGGCAATTCTAGGACTCAGTTGGGGCTAAATAAAAAGATCTAGACACGATTAAAATCTAGGACTCAGTTGGGGCTAAATAAAAAGATCTAGACACGATTAAAATTTAGACAAGACAAGGATTGGGGTCTCAAAATATCACTACAAGGGAGTTGACTACGGTACAGTCAATGGCCTTTTTGGTACTATACCAAAAAATTTTTGGCTGCAAAAGGTAGTCAAAATGATGCTGAATGTGCCACATGTAAAAACGAAGGCAAGGCCAACCGGCTTCACCGGTTGCTTCTTTACATAGTCCAAAATCACAAGAAGAATGAGAAATTTGCCACAATAGTGGGAATAATTACAAAGCTAATGGTATATTTACAATATTTGTGGGATATTTACAATAGTAGTAGGTACAATTACAAAGTTAATGATATATTTATAACATTTGTGGTAGATTTACAGCAGTAGTGGACACATTTACAAAGTTAATGGTATATTTACAAAATTAGTGGGAAATTTCTAACAATAGTGGAAATAATTACAAAGATAATAGGATATTTACAACATCAATGGGAAATGTACTATAGTAGTGGGGACAATTACAAATGTAATGGTATATTTACATTAGAAGTGGGTAAATTTACAACATTGTATACTTAAGGATGCTAATTTACAACGGTTGAAGTAGCAATTACAAGATTTGTGACCATAATTAAGGATATGTATACCACTATTGAGGGCAAGATTACAAGAATTGTAGACAAAGTTAATAGTTTATAAGGTAATTACGAGTAGTTTGGTTAATAACAACATTAGTGGATAAAATTACAGAGCAAATGATGACTTTACAACAATATTGGTTAAGTTAAAAATATTATGCTTAAATTTATGAGAAATGAGAGAAAGTTACAACATTTATGGGTAAATGCCGAAATCTAGGGTAAACGCAAGACAATGCTGGACTAAGTTACTAGTCAGTAGGTAAATTTTACTAATACATGGGTCAATATTACGAACAAAAAGGTAAATGCACAACAACAAAGAAATTGATTGAATGGTTATTAAATTTGATAGGACATACACGAGGGTTTTTGAACATAATGAATTTGATTGATTACTAGTAATAGTTCTAGGTTAATTATTTGTAAACAGAATGAATTTGATCGATCACTATTATTTAGTGATCGATCAAAACGTTGTAGGTTTATTAGCTCAAGTAGCATAACTATGTAATGTGGGCATGCGATCGATCACTTTAAATTTTGATCAATTGATATATAGTGGATTTACTTAAATGCCTCCAAAAAAAAAATTCTTAGAAGTGTTGTTTTGTGTGTGTGGGGGGGAGGGGGTAGGGGTTTATCATAAATTACGACCAAAGGATACCCAAATAAATCCCCAAATATTAAGATAGACCCTAAATCGTGGCTTCTTCCAAAACCATTCCAATTCACCCAACACCCCAAATCTCCTTCATCTGTTTGTGTTCGCCAACCATCTCAAAGCTTTGGATTGATTATTAGCGAAGTAAAGGAAGATTCGAAGAAAAGGAATTTCCACTTTTTATGAATAAAAGCATTGCCAATTATTGAAAAGAGAGACGAAGAATGGAGAAGGTGCAAATGCATTGCGTGTTATTTGTCATATGGTCTTCTATTGTCTTATTTGTAGCTTTGTTGATGGCTGGTGGAGAGAAAAGGAAAAGAAAGAAGGTGGATAGTAGAGGCAGTTCTTTCAATGCCAAAATCTTCGTGGACAACGATGCTAAGAAAAGGTATGATAAGTTCATTGTTAAACCTCCTCTATTACTTGAGTGTGGAGCTTCCCTCGATGAGCTAGTAGGTAGCGTGGATTCCCCTGAAATATCTCGTGCTTGGAAGTGAGATACTCTATTTGATGTGAATATGAAAGATAAAAGATATACTGATCTGGTTAAGTTATATTATGCAAATATTCATGACTACAAAGAGAATGATCTGACATTTAAGTCATGGGTTAGGAAGAAACCCCTCACTATTTCTCATAAGCTTGTTCCAAATGTATTGAAATCATAGACCCAACATTCTTGAGAATTCCATTGTCTTTCCATATGCAACTAAGAAGCAGGTACCTAACATGGCAACGGTTATTCGACATATTTGCACTAGGAGTGTCCCTTGGGAGAATGAGAAAAATAAAATTGCTCACAAAAGACCTTACACCAACATACAGGATCTTAAACCGCATTGTTGCTTGTAATATATATCCGAAGGGATATATTGTTGAAATTGGTTACGATACAACCCAACTGTTATATGCTATTGGGAGAGAGGTTTGTATTGATATACCCTTTTACATATTCAACCATATTCTTGAAACATCTAAGGTAGAGGATTGCAGGCCAAACCTTCCATTTCCAATCTTAATTTCCAAGATTTTAAGTGTCTAATCTCTAAGTATATAAGTGCCTATTCTCTAAGCACAAGAGTTATCTTCTAAGTGTAGCTTTGAAGATCATAGTCTTGCACATTATCACTAAGCAAATACCTTGATAAAAACATAATATGCATAAAAGGCATTACTTAATCACATGTATGGAGAGCATCAAGATAAACATAAGACATATTCATTTTAACATCATACAAGTGCAAATATGTTATATATGTAAGAACTACCTTGCCCAATATGCTTGAGAACATTTAGATAGAACATGACCATCAACAACTAGTTCTCCCCCTTAGTTGGCGTTCACAAATAAAATAACAAGTGAAAAATAAAAAAGTGTAATATAGGTGACTTCATAACAAATTTGCAAATCTACTCCTCTTGAGTATTAGAATAAACTCCCCCTTATTCTATTCACATGCAACTTACCTAAGCTATTCAATAAAATATCTCCTCGAATTCTGCTATATGTACCCAAAATATTCTTCTATTTTTTGTCACAAAGTGCCAAACCAATGAAATATCATAACAAACAAAATACATAATCAAGCTTTTCCAATATATTCTTAATGACATAGAATCATAGTCTAACAAGAGGTATAAATACAAACCAACTAGAAAAATAGGCATGTAAAACAAGAAAATGACAATCAAGGGATATAACTCAAAGTCTAGCTGAATAAAACATTAAATAACCACGACTAAGAGTAGGTCATAACAAACAAAAAATAGCAAACAAATGCAAAAGTCAATAAAACAGAAATAGGAGTAATTTAAGTACCGACCATGAATAAATCACTCCAATAAACTCCCATATGGTCCTATTCTAAAGTCTACTAAGTAGCTCATGTGGCCGCATCATCTCCACCATCATCATTATTTCCACCATTGTGTCGGGGAAGCTCCAACTTTGAATCAATGTCATCTGGCATTGGCTTGCCTTCAAACTTCTTTCCCTTCAACAACTTCCTAAGTCTTCTTACCCTATGTGAAACTGATCCCATCACAGACTGCTGGGTCTCCTCTAGGCTCACTATCTTGCCATCCAATGCATCTATATGAGAAGTAAGGCAGTCATGCTCTACCAAGGCACACTTAACCCTTATAAGCATGTCAACTAAGGATGCCAACTGGGATGCAAGGATGTTTGAACCCGACTCAAGTGGTGGAGGTCTAGAAGTACTAGCCTCTGGGTGAACTAGTGGTGCACGAGGTCTAGTCTCAACATGTGGAATCTCTGAATTTCTTCATCTCTCCTCTATTGCAACAACATACTCAGTCTAGACCTTCCTCTACTTCAATGAACTCTTATTCAAAGGCCTCATGGGGTTTTATATCTTATCCTTGGGCAAAACAACAACTCCTTTACCCTTGTAGAAAATAGACCATCTAATACTCTCCCCTCCAAAAAGGGCTCGCCAAATAAACCTAAAAATCATCGATGGGAAATCAAGATCTAACCCTGTTCCTAGCACATATAACATGTTTGCTCTCTGAATTTGGAAGTCTAAAATATGGGTTTTTAGTTCAATGTTGTAGTTGACTATTAGGTTCAACATCCTATAGTCTTGGGTTAAATGC